CACAGCACACTGAAGCTGTCAGCAGCCTCTGCAGCACAAGTTTGATCCCCAGCCAGCCAGGGAGCTATCCACATGGCATAGCAGAGCTCTTCTGTCTCGCCTGCTGCCTCCCTCAGCAGTGTATGTCAGTCAGTCCAACTGTTCTGTTCCCCACTCTGTCTCTGGTGAGTCCTCTCACCCCCTGCACCTCTGGCCTGTACCCCAGTTCTTGTATGCATAAAATAAATAAATAATTAAAATGTTCAAAAAAACTACTATAACACTTGAAATTATTTATATAATTGAAATAACTTAAAGCCAGAAAACCCTTGCAACATCTCCAAACTTAATTTTAAAGATAAAATGCTGAGTTCACATATACTGAGTGCTTAAAGAGCAGCATATAAATGTTTAGTAGTAGCAGGGTAGTTTTAAAATTAAAGATCAATTTCAAAGTGTGGAAATTTCTTTCATGTCCACTCATCATGCTCTGTTTTTAGGTATTTTGTTATAGATATTATTTAAATAATTGGTATTTAAGGGGACTATTCATCATTTTCCTAATGTAATAGTTCCAAAAACTGCTGAGCCATTTTCTCACCTAATAATTAGAAAACTTTTAAATACTCAAATATTTTTTAAAAATTCTAGTAAATTTAATTTTTTTTCTAATGGAATATTTTAATTTTTTATTTCCCCCCAAATTATGTTTATTGAGGTAAAATAGGTCTATATCTTTGCATCTGCTCCAGAGATTATAGGTTCAAACTTCTACAACTGCAAAAATACAAAAGTCACAAAGCAAAGTTAGATTCCAATCTACAAATAATAGAACACAAAAGAACATTATGGGTAAACTTTTTAAGGTTTCATGTTTAACACCAAGAGTTTTTTAGGTACATATAACATTGTGTTTAACTTAATTTATGGTCATAATATAGACTATAAATGAGATTTTCTTAGAGAAAAATGTAATGTGAATGAAAAGAAAGGAAAACTATGCCAGTACCCAGTGATAATTTTATATAGAGTATAAAGTATATATATATAATATATATAATATAATATATATAATATATACTTATAATATATATATATTATGCTAGCCTTTAATAATGGAATTATACATCAAAGTTATTTTCTTTTTGATACTTTTTCTATTTTACATTTTCCTTAACAAGTATTTTACTCACAGAAGAAAATCAAAAAAGTATAATTAAAAAACAGAAACAATAAAATATGGACTAGAATCAGATTCTTGAATATGTTAAGTGGGGTGAAAACTTCACAATTGATTTCACATTATCCAGAGAACAATCACACATTCTTAAAATGAAAGAGCATTTGATCAGATATATAACTAAAGAATGAAAAACCTGCCTACAGCACATGAAAGTATGGTTTTGAGCAATGAAAAATATTTAAGACAATATGAACAATTCAGGTAAAATTTACTGAATGCTTGGAGTATGGCAGTAAGTGAAGGAAATAAGAAGTTGAAATTGAAAAAGGACAAAGAAGTAGAACGAATTGTCAGAAATTGGCACTCAATTATATAAAGGTTAGAAGGTGAGAGAGGGGTCAAACCTGACTTTAAGGTTTTTATTCTGTGACAGAAAGGATGGCAATGTTATTAACAAAGATCAAGAATAGGAGAGAAGTAGACACGGAGATGAAAGAAGAGATAAAATACTTAAAATGTAACAATGCAATCTGTCATTATATCTATCTTACTATTGAATAAAATGAAATCTGAAGAGTGTTAATATAGATTAGATGATTTTTTTTTAAATTGTTTTGACAGTTTTGAAGGAAAGTAGAAATAATTACTGAGGTCTATGACAAGTTCCAGAAATCTGAAATTCTAAGAGTATGTTTCATAACCACATGAAATATCTATTATATTTCCTACTGTATTTTGTATTTTTAAAAAAAATCACCTCCCTTTTTCTCACTAGGAGCAGAAGGTAGAACCAACAGTGTGATATGTGCTCACAAGTAGAGTTGTTATAAGAATGCTTCCTTCACACTTTAGGAATGTAGTGCCAGCTGTGTTATTACATGCCCTTATTATAAACCTGCCATTTTAAAACTTAAGAAAAAATCTGCCATTCATACAAAATACCTCATATTATAGATTATGAAATAGTTACATTTTAATGTAGAGTTGTATATGCAAAATTATAATCAAAAAGTTTTCATTAAGTACACACACACTGTATTTCACTGCCTTAAGCAATTTGCAATAAAGTGGACCTAGACATCTTTGACTTACATGTTCGTAGCCTCTCACATATAAAATTACAAATCTCATTGGAGTATGTCAGTCAGTGAAGGAAATAAGAAGTTGAAACTGAAAAAGGATAAAGAAGTAGAATGAATTGTCTACTTCTAAAAAATAATAGTTCAAATAGCTAGGCAAGGCTGGAATGGATCTTGGAAAAAATAATAAGGAAAATAGAGACAGACTAAGGAAAAATGAATAAGTTAAATTTTATAATAAGCTTGAGAATGAGACTAGGAAGAGATTATAGAGACAGTTACTTAGCTACAGTATCTAATGCTTAACAGTGTTGCTAAGCGTTAACCTCCAACAACTATTTGTAATGGGTGTTAAGAGCATGCTAATTCTTTCTTACTAGCTTAAAAACCTACACAGAAAGGAAAAAGAGTATTTTAATAATATAATATGTTCATGAACCTAGAAATTCAAGCAGAACAATCTACCTAGCCCATCAGAAACTTTCTTAATTGCTGTACACCAGATCTTTTGCTCAGTACATAGCTGATATTTTCTCCCATGAGACTTGGTCAGTAAACATAGCATGGTATGTATCAAGAAGAAAAGAGCCACATGTATAACCTGAAGGGACTCTGCAACTAGGGGAGAACACGTAGTGTCCTTCTCAGAGCCCTGCCTTGCAAAACAGGTTGACTCTCCTTAGCAGCTACTGTTCAAGTTCTCTCCTATACCATGAGATCATTATTATGCATGACCACATTTGAGCCTGATGTGTTTGATTAAAAAGAAAAATTAAAAGGGGAAAAAGTAGCTCATCATTTATAGCTATTCTATTAGTTCTTTTACTAGTGCAAAATGTTTAAGTAAATATAAATAGATGATTGATAGACAGGTAGGTGAAAGATTGATATATTTGGATACACCATTAAATCTACTTAAATGCCCTTTCATTTCACTATCCCTTGATTTTACTAATTATGCAGAGGGGTTTCTTTCATTTTTGTCCCCCTGCCATCCCCTAAAGGGAGGTAAAAGACCTGGTAAAAACCATGGAAAGTAATATTTTGATTCATGTCGGTGACTTAAATATCTAGAAAGTAATGTTTATGCCTTATGGCTTCAAAATTCCTGGTTAAGTGAGTTTTGTTTTTTTTTTTTTTTAATTTCATAGTTCACACCAGAATTTCTTCAGGAGCCAGTTTGGAGAAGGGCATCAAGTTCTGGTCCTAGGCTGTCCCTGAGGACCTCAAAGTCAGTTTTATTACTTCATTGATGCCAGAGTAGAGGGAGTCTGCAGTATATAATGCTTTGCCTCCAAATCTTTAGCAAAAAGGCTAGCACTTTTACTAAGTTTAAAGGGAAAAAACCACAAGCCACTCTGGAAAAATTGTTTTGTTATTAATATTTATTTACACTACACCTAATCTTCAACAAAATGGCACATATTCTCAGAATGCATGCATATATTAATGCAGATATTTAATTGTGTATATTAAGTTTGACTTTCAACTAATTGGTAGATTAAAAATTATACATCATTCAATTCTTTGAAAGATTTATTTATTTATTCATACAAGAACTGGGGCACAGGCCAGATGCGCGGGGTCGGGGGAAGGAGTGAGAGGATTCACCAGAGACAGAGCAGGAACCGAACAGGCAGACTGACTGAAATACACTGCTGAGGGGAGCAGCGGGAGAGACAGGAGAGGCCTGCCTCACCATGTGGGACCCTCGCAGGCTGGCAAGGCAAAGCGTGGCGCTCAACCGCCTGCACCATCAGGGGAGGCCCTCATTCTTTTTTTAAGTTTTGAAGTGCTACAAGTTGCATTTAATTTGTATGCAGTCATATAGTCTGAAACAGATATTTACCACTGTTCTATATTCTAGTCATTTTTTTTTTTAAGCAACAGAGATAATTGCAAGGAAGCCCAGCAAACCCACAACTTTGTTGGAAGAATTTGAGCACAAAATATTGTTTTAATAAAGCAAACACAAATTAATTAGAACTTAGTTTTCAATACTTTGTAATTATTAGATTTTATGCTCTATGTAAATGTTTATAAATATTAACTAATTTATAATTCCAAACAACCCATTGAGGGGGTATTATAATAGATTTGAAAAAATGGACATACAGAGAGGTTAGCTATATTATACAGTCATAAAATAGTAAGTGACAGATCTTGTATTCAAAATGTTATAGGAGTAGAATGAGCAGGGTACTATGCAAGAGAAGGAGGATAAGGGATATCTGGCTCAACAAGGTTATGAAAGGCTTCAATACAGAAATATCTTTGTTCATTGGAAAATATTTGGGATATACTACTGCATATTTTACAGATCTGAATTTCTCAAACCCTGGCTAGGTCACTTACATATTTGTGTAGCCCTTGACAATTTAGTTTAGACTCTAAGCTTTTCATTCCTATCAGACTAGAATAAGAACATTAACTGATTTAAAGATTTTTGTGAGGATCAAACAAAGCAATACTTACAAAAATATTAGCACATTTTAAAGCCTAATCAATTAAAAAATTATATACGTGATGAGAAAATGATAGGTAAGTGCAAGGTGGAAAAAGTTTCAGGAAGATTGGGGCCTCCCCGGTGGCACAGCGGTTGAGTGCTAGGTTGCAAAGCTTCCCGCAGCCTCTACAGCACCAGTTTGATCCCCGGCCGCTGGGCGAGGGTCCCACATGGTACACAGACCTCTCCTGCCACCCACTGCTCCCCTCAGCAGTGTACTTCATCTGTCTGCCTGTTCTGCTCCCTGCTCTGGCTCTGGTGAATTCTCTCACCCTCCCACGCTTCTGACTGTACCCAGTGCTTGTATACACAAATAAATAAATCTTTAAAAAAAAAAAAAGTTTCTGGAAGATATTGATTACCTGTTAAGGTGGGTTGAATAAGAATTGGATGAGGAGGGAGTTACATTCCATTAAACACATACTTTGTGAGCTCTTTCAACACATAATAAAAATCAACCACAATGGGGATATGAAACCAAAATACAGTAACACAGTAAAAATTTAATTAACCTAGTTGTAATACAAGTCAATAACATAACCAAATGGAAGGGTTTGGGCAATACAACATTATAACCTAGATTACTTTTAAAGGTAAAGACTAAAATAAGTCTGTATATAACTAATATATACATATATAACTATTAGAATCGTTGCCAATGGAATGAATAAGAATTTTGGAAACTGTATAAACAAGCATTAAACAAATATATAGATATATATATCTAGATAATGATGATAAGGACTGATCAAAAGTCTGAGTAAGAAATTTTAAATCAGGAAATGAGGAAGCTCATATTGACTAAGAAGTGCTAGTATAAAAGGATAAACTCATGATAACAGACAGATAAGGACAGATGACAGATATATTATTGAATGTTAGATTAAATATAGATACAAATATAAATATAGATACGTACGTACGTACGCATGGAGTAGTATACACAACATATATTTTCTAGCTCTCACCACTGAGAACTGGTATTAGCAATGACTACCATTAGTGATTAAATCTTTTTTTCTAAAAACCATTGTCCAGTTAAAAAACACTAGGATCCAATGTTTAAATAAGTGGTTGAGACTAAGGCTTAGTCAAGAGAATTACAAGAGGGACCTTAAACATGTTCGGGTGCTAGAAAATAAGAAATTTCTCATAAAAGGATCAAAGCATGACAAAGGATTCGGTGTCTACCCAATGTAGAAACTAATGGCTAAATAACTTGAACAATAAAATAATGCTTGTGTTGGATTATAATCCATACCCTTGAGTCTACACTGACACAAATGAGTATTTAATATGCCAATGGTGGGGAAGGGAAAATTCCTCACAGAAGTCCAAGTTAAACTTCAGAGGAAAATAGCTTTAGGTAAAACCCAAACTGGTAATTGTTGCAGATAAGATCCACCAAAGGTTGTTAAAAAGTTAGTGAGTGAAAGTAGCTACCCAAGGTAGCTACCCAAGATATATATTACTTATGAAGGGGAAAATAGAAACTTTAAAATGAATAAAACTGGCAACTTGAGCAATGATAAAGGGTAACATAAACAGTCTTAAAATATTTTGATTTCTTGAAGCTTCTGAGTTGATATAATAAAAATATCATAAGATCATTCTGTAGCTTTCTTTCCAAAAATGTAAATTTTATATTAATTAAGATAAAATATCAGTCATATCCAAAGTAGGAAAAAAACTGACCAATACTTTTCAAAATTATCAAGGTCAAGGTCATGAAAGAAAAATAAACACCTGTCAATTGTTTAAAAAAATGAAAGCATTAAACTAAGGAAAAATAATAGCAAATGCAACGTGGTATCCTGTAAGAGAAAACAAAAAGGACATTAGAGGAAAACCTGGTAAAATCTGGATAAAGTCATAGCTTAGTTAATACCACAGTATTGTGCCACTGTTAATCCCCTACAGTGTTAATCACTGTACTATGGTCAAGTAAGATGTTTACATTAGAGAAGTTTGATGAAGGAAATATAATCTTTATGTCCTTTGAAACTTTTCTAAAAACATATAAAACTTAAACTAAAACCCACCCAGGAGATTTTATAATGAGTGGGATTTAGGTTACTTTGCTCTATTTGTCTGAATGTAATTGTATAAAATTGAAGGCAAGAACCTAATCATGAGAACTCCTATAAGCTATGCCAAGCCATATAAAACATATTTCAAGAGTTAAAATGTCAGCATCATTTTTACATTTTAGAAGGAGTGTCCACACAAAATGCAAAAGAGGAGACTGGCTGATTCCAGTAGTTAAGGAGATGTAGCTGAAAAGTTCCAGGAATCTTAAGCAGTAAGAATTCACAGTGCAAAATACTGCAAAGGAGAAAGTTGCATAGAGAGAAGGCTAGAGGGCAACAGGAAGTCTCCTCAAGTAGTCAGCTGAATACTGGTGTTTACATTTGAGAAAATTAGCTGAAACTGGGAAAAGCACTATTCAAAAGGATAAAAAGATAATGCATGGTGCTCACATACGGTATGGAATATGGACCTTTCCACAACTTAGTAAATCTGTAATTCATGAAGCAATAGGTTAAAAACTCAGAAGGCCATACACCCTTCACTAATGAGAATGAATTATCTGCCTGAGCACTGCTCTGACACTACCTAATCAATAAAATCAAGATCTGGAAGGAACAAAATGTGTTTAAGTTACTTAACTCAATCTCAGAACAAAGATCTAGAACATTTCTAGGAATACAAAATATCCAAAAAACAGTGATGCAAAATTAACATTATTCTGCCATAAAATCAGAGATTACAGGGATGTACGCAAAGAAACAGGGACACGTGCTTTATAATAAGGAAATAATCAGTGAAAGTACTCCAGAAGTGATAATTAGGGGAAAAGTATTTTAAAACAGTTATCATAATTTTACTTGATATGTTTTAAAAGTAGAAATATTGAAAATATAACCCCCATTAAACTTCAATAATGAGTTTAAAAATATCAAAAAAATACAAATAAATAGATATATTCTGCAAACATGTAGGAATATTCAGTATATTTAATATGTCAATTCTCTGCACACGATGTGTAGATGTAATACAATCACACATAATTGAACTATTATACACATGTGGTATGAGATAGTAGACTACTGCATACCATATTTTCATAATCTATCATCAAAGTTAAAATCTTAATTTAATTTCCTCAAATTTGCCCCTAATTCTAATAACAAGGGTAAGGTCAAAATAAGAATTTCTATGTTTTTTTGTTTTTATGGTAAGCACACATAAACTTAGAGATAATTTAAACCATTTTACAAGTTTTTGACAAAAGAGAACTTGAACAGAGAAGTTCATGTTGGTGAACCTTGCTTTAAATATCTATTTAGAGATAATATTTGGATTGCCATGCAAACTAAGTTGAGAGCTATATCAGCAGTATCTTGCAGCCAGAGATGACTAAATTTAGTCATGCCAGGGGCTGCCTTAGCACAAACTTAACCAACTTCTGTCATGTCAGTGTCAGTATGCTGAAATCCACATGTGTATATATTCTGATTTTAGGCAGAAGTGAATATTACATTCAGAGAGAAGACCTTTTTACTGCTTTATTACTGCATAATGTCCTGGATATATTTGATAGCGGTTACAGCTCCAATATACCTGCCACTACACCTCACTGCTAATTCAATGACAGCTGAGTAGTCACACGTTACCAGCTGATATAATTCAATGCTGTCTTTTTCCAGTCATTCTTACTTAAAGTCAGTATTAAGAGTCATCCTCAAAGTTATTCTGGATTAGTTGCCTGCGGAGATGCACATCACTAAAAAGTTTGATTTTAAAAAGTTGTAATGAGTGTTGTGCTGAAGTGCATCTGTATTTGGTATTTTCATGATGTGAGATTATAATCTGGTCTGTGGGACTTAATATTCTCCATTCCCCAAACAGAAGAGATTAAAACTTGTAAAATGGTTTCGGTTGATAATGTCCAGATTCCTCATGTTTACGTTAGTTATAGAGGTTATTAACTTAATTATTAATCATTGGAACAGGAAAACACTTTCCAAGGAAAAAAAGAACATAGGAAAAATAAACAGGGTAGACATTTTGGTTATATGCTTTTACAATTCAATTAAGAAGATTTAATTTTAATTTACACTTGAAAAAAATGGCTTTTTTAGTGGCAAAGCTAGGATTACCATTCAGGCTTTCAGATTTCTAGGTTTTATATATTTTATATGAACATAATCATGCACTTAAAACCTCCTATTAAATATGAAAAAAACAGGGCAGAGAAACTATGGAGCTTTATAAAGTTTACATGGAGAACTAATAACAAAACAAAGACATATATTGCATTCCAGTTAAATGTGTTCTGAAATCAAGTAATATCCTGATTCATGTATTCTTTTCTAGTAATTTCTCAACCAAGTCAATATTTTAATTATATATATATATTTTTTTTATTGAGGCAATGTTAGTTTACTCTGGATATATGTCACCACACCACACCACCCATCACTTAACATTAATTGAACCTCTCCTACTTTTGAGGCTCTTATTTTTTATTGAAATACATTTAGTAATAACCATTGTGCAAATTTAAGATGTATGACATGTTAATTTTATAATTTATTACTATGTGATTGCCATTATAGCAATAACTAACACTTGTATCGCATATTTATCACTTTTTTAGAAGTTTAAATAATTAAGTTCTAGTCTCTTAGCAAGTTTAATGATTATAACACTGTTGTCCACATTCACTGTACTGTGCACGTTAGGCTTAAATTTAGAAAACAGTTGATTTTGTCCATGAGTCATTGATCATCTGCTACCACACATAACAGCATTAGAAATTGCTATTAACTAAATTATAAACTTATAGTTAAATGTAATTTTAGTATGGATTTATGAAATCAAATCATTATTGTGCAAATAATATAATATCACAACACATGATATGTACCAGGAAAAAAATGACATGATGTATTATAAGTAGAAGATGTTTTAAGACCTCTTCTTCTAGATCTCAACTTTTCAACATGATTTAAGTGGTAATAACCACATATTATCCAAATTCATTTTTAAAAATTTCAGCAGAATACTATGTATTACATGTAAAAATTGTATTATAAACTAGCTTTACATTTTTGTCCAAATATAAAATTTTTATTTGGAAATTTTAATTCTCAGTAATGATGAAATTTTTGGCAGTTCTAATCTAAAAAGATAAAACTAACACATTTTAGGTTTATATATTAGCTTCTGCAAATGTAAGAGAATCTCACCTAATTTTCCTAACAAATAATTTGTAAAATATA